CATTTTGTTGTTAAATGAAGACGGCCTAAGCGTTGGTGTAAAACATAACAACAAATATCACAAAGTATTTAATAATTTCATCAAGACAGCCCACAAGCACATTTAAATATTTTATAAATCAACTTAAATATGTAATTATGTTTACAATTGTATAATTTAAATACCTGTTTTTGTAGTGTAAACTTATTTATAACAAAAACTGATTAATAGATTTTTAATGATTTAAATATCTGAGCGTAGTTGGGCGAACGAGTATGTAAATATATATATATTATAAATATGTACATATATCTATTAATATAAAGAAATAAAGTGCTAGCTGGAAGCGGTATATTAGTATGTGTACTGCATGGGATGTGTCTGAGAGCTACATGCATACGTATGTATGTATAAGAGAGTAGCAAAGAGTTGAAAATGAAATAATTGAGAATGATATTTAACCCTCGTACAAATATGTTTACATAAAATTACATATATATATACTTATTTGATTTTATGCTTCAGCAGACAAACCTAGTTGCAAGCCATAAAAGCCAATGGTAAGTACGTTTTACAACAACAACAAAAGCACTAAGGAACGTGCGTAATTAACTAAATGACCAATAAAAAGTTATCGCTTTTTCTTATTTGTAAACATTTAGATTCCTCAAACAAATTTAGTAACTTGTATGACTTAAATGTTTATCAACGGCATTGAAATTGTAACCAAAAAAAATTTTAAAGTATAAATTGTTTTAAAACGAAAGAAAATAAAATAAGTTAACATAAACCAATATAATGTGAAATAAAAAAAATTAAGATAAAAGGAAATAATAAACAATAAAATAAATTAATACGGCAAAAAAAAATATAATATCATTAAGAAAAAATAAAATGAAATAAAGTGAAAAATTGTTTTTTATATAAAATGGGATATATTAAAATTAATCAAAATAATGCAAACTAAAGTAAAAAAATATGAAATAAAATAAAGCAAAAAACCAAAATAAAATAGAATAAAATATAAATAAATAATAGTATAAAATAAACTAAAATGAGGAAGAAAAAATAAAATAAAATAACGTAAAACGAAGTAAGAAATTTATTTAAATAAAATGAAATAAAAAATAAATTTAATTAAAATTAGATATATTAAATTAATCAAAATAATACAAATTAAGATAAAAAATATGATAATAAAGTCAAAAATAAAATAAACTAAAATGAAGTAAAAAAATAAATTAACAAAAAGGAAATAAAATATTAAAAAAATTAAGTAGACAATTAATTGAAATAAAACAAAATTATCAAAATAATTCGAATTATAATAAAAAAATATGAAATAAAATAAAGTAAAAAATAAAATCAAATAAAATAAAATAAATAATTAAAATAAAGTGAAAAACTAAAATAAAATGAAAAAATATTAAACAAATTAAATTAAAAAACATAACAATATGAAATTTAAAAAAAAAATTATTTAATAAAATTAAAATATATAAAATAAAATTAAACAAAATGAAATTTAATTAAATACTATAATGTAATGAAAATAAAATAAAATAAGTTAATAAATGAAGTAAAATAAAATTCAATAAATATAACCAAAACGAAATAAACTGAAATAATTGGATAAATTATATAAAATATAATAAAAAAAAATTCCTTAAACTTTATTTAAAACTAAATCAAATTAAATAACTTAAAATAAAATAGTATAAAATAAAAATAAATGAAAAAAACATGTAACCGACCGCACTGAGAGCTGGCAAATTAAGTAGTAGTGCAGCTGCGGCAGAAGTCGTTTAAGAAGCAGCCTATCTTTCTACCATGAATCCCCATAAGACAGTGTCTGTTTATTACGCCGAAAAGCATGGCTATGAAAGAATAGAGACTTAGTGCTGTTTACCTCGATTAATGGCAAGATTTATCTTGTCAAATTGAATGTGGCTTCGCGCTGTCATTAGTTGTTGGCGCTTCTCGTGAGGGCTAGTCGTAGCCAATACTTTGCCGAGAAGAGTTTATCGTGGTTGAGACTGTTGTCTTTCCTGGAAATACCCTACGACCTAAGACCCAAAACAGGGACGTTTCGCATACAGTCGAGGGTTTGTTAATGATCTCTTCCAATTTTATTGCCAAAATACAAAAAAATTTAATTGAATTATATAAGCTAAATTGCAGAAAAATAAAACCAAACCAAATAAGTAAAGAGTAACATTAATCAAAACATTAATTCAATAAAATAAATAAATAAACTTAATTAAAATAAAATTTAATTCAATTTAATTTTATAAATAAACTCTCATTATTTAAATAACTTCTATTGCTAGAATATTTTTATGTTAAGGAAAAAAATAAAATTACTGCAGTCATTAGGAAAAATGTGTTTCTTGGTTTATTTTGTTTACAAAAATTTTTACGGTTTTTTTTCTTCCTTATTTTTAAAGCACTTCTCAATGAGCTCTACGAAATCAATTATAGCACTTTTATAATATTATTTTTAAATTTAATTTTTTATTTGACAAATTTACCACTTAATGTCACTACAATACAAACACATTGCTAATGAACGGTTAAATTGTTGGTTATCATTTAATTGTTATGGAAAATAAAAAATATTTTTTCATTAGAATACACTGCGCACCTATGTACCTTTGTGTGTATAGCCGCTGCTTTATTGTGCATATAATGCTATATGTATTGCTATTGTTGACTTAAGCGCTTTTTGTGTACAGATTTTTATGTGTGTGCCTTTAAAAAAAAAAAGCAACTGTGGTAATTGCAGTGTTTGCTATTTTAATTTTTGCACTCAGTAATTTGCGCAAATTGAATTTTTTGCTATGATTTTCAATTTTTCACTTTTATTTAAGGTACTTTTTTATATTTTGCTTTCATTTTTTTTAGCAAACTTTTTCACGCTATTTACTTTAATTTGACAGGCTGCCACCTGAGTGTAAGTTTATTGCGATTTTCTGGCGGTTCAACTGTCAACAGGCGAAAATTAAGCACGAAAATACATAAAAAATTAAACAAACTACCAATAAAGTTGACTGTAAACATTTAAATGCGCGCATAAATATTATTTCAAATTATTTAAAAGCAGCCATTAATGACTCATGAATATTTTTAATAAAATAAACATAGTTCGCGCTTGAGCTCAGGTTTCAATTAACTTAATTAGTTATGGCGTAAGGTTATAGAAAATAAGGAAAATATTCAGATATAGTTATAATAAATAAATACTAATAAATTTTTTAAATTTATGTGGTTTTCACATATGTATATGCAGTACCCAAAAATAAAATATTAAATGTGTCTGATAAAATAAAATAAAATAAAATAAAATAAAATAAAATAAAATAAGATAAAATAAAATAAAATAAAATAAAATAAAATAAAATAAAATAAAATAAAATAAANTATGCATATATTTTATTTTATTTTATTTTATTTTATTTTCTCTTAATATTTTTTTTTTTACATTTTATTTTTATATTTATATAATTTGTTTATTATTATATATTTTTTAAACTCATTTAATTTTTTGCAATATCGTGTCAAAAAATCGAGATACAAGAGTGCCAAAATGTGCTTTTATCTAATGTTTAGAATATTTCTTTCATGTCATTTCATTATTAAATTCACAAAAAAACTCTACAGGATTTTTTTGCCCTCTCAACTTGTATAATTAAGGCTGTAATTCGATAGCACATTGTATGCTTACAAACAAATATGATTGTTTACAAAGAATATATAAGCATGTTTGTACACTTTTACCCTTTAATTAAGCGTAATGAAGTGAAAAATATAAGTACAACAAAAAAACTCTAGCAGAAAATGCTGACGAATGCATGTCGCACGAGTAATTATTAAAAATAAAAATACATAAAAATGTTCATACATGTGTTTGTTAAATTGAACGCTATGCTGCGCATATTATTATTATTTTTATATCTATTTTTTGAAATCATTTTTTTTTTGTAGATTTACTATTTTCCCCTTTTTTTATATATAATCTAACGTGTCATTTTGTTTCATTTATTCTTGTAATTACTGCTTTTATGTAGTCTCAGTGGAGCGCAACAACGGTGTGAATGTGATTTTGTTGTTTATTATCATTAATGCTTACATGACCAAGCAGATGGTGTTGAATGCATTCATATTTGTTGGGTCATTAGGCGTATAAATATTTGTGAAAGATAATATCGCATTGTTTATGACTATGCAATTCAGTTAATATCATAAAAAAATAATAAAAGAATGCAAAATTTTGTTATTGAATTTTTTTTACTTTGTTCATATTCACACAGTTTTTCAACATAGCATACAAGAATATTTTTATACAATTTTCTAGCATATTAGGTATTTAAGGGAATTTAGTTCTTCAATTTAACACTTACTTTTTTGTATATCTTCTTTATTTTTCACAAATAATATTTTTTTCTTTTTTATTTACTGGTTTCCACTTTATTTTATTTTATTTAATTTTATTTAATTTTATTTTATTTTATTTTATTTTATTTTATTTTATTTTATTTTATTTTATTTTATTTTATTTTATTTTATTTTATTTTATTTTATTTTATTTTATTTAATTTTATTTTATTTTATTTTATTTTATTTTATTTTTATTTATTCTATTTTATTTTATTTTTTTTTTTATTTTACTTTATTTTATTTTATTTTACTTCACTTTATTTTACTTTAATTTTATTAAATTTTGATTTGTTATATTTTAGTTTTGAATTTTTTATTTTTTTCATGTTTTTTATTTAATTTTAATTTACTTTATTTACTAATAATTATTTTATTCCATTTTATTTTATTTTGCTTTATTTTATTTCATTTTATTTTATGTTATTTTATTTTATTTTATTTCACCTTATTTTATTTTATTTATTTTAATTTAATTCACTTTTGTTCAAGAAAATTTAAATTTTATCAATATTTTTCAATTGTATTTCTAATTGCGCGTATCGTTATTCAGCCGAATTTGATCAGCACTAATTAATAAGACTCACCTTTCGTACAATTTTGTGTGAGACTGTAAAGAAAAAAAGATATACTAAGTATTAGTATATATCATATATGTATTAAAAAAAAACTTGATGCTTTAAAAATCTTTTACAAACATACGAAAAATTAAAAATATAACATAAATAATAATAAAAAAAAAAATATTATTGTGAACCTGTTAAGCATAAGTTAAATCTGTGCCAGTACTTTTTTGACGAAACTAATAACAGAAATTCATTAGCGAACTGGTATTTTAATAATTTAGTGCTGATAAATGAGTGAGTGCCTCGGTTCTATTCTCGCAGCCGGCAAACTCAGTTTTATTTTTTATTTATTTATTTATTTTTTTTTTTTGGTAAAGTAGAAATTCAAAATGCCTAAATGGCACTGGAATATAACTAGTTCATCCATCATTGTTCCAAGAAATGCCTTTAGTGCTCGAAACCCCGCGTTTTATGTATAAGTGTGATTGAAATTAGGATATTTTGTATACAAAAAAAGAGATTGGAGGAAGCGTTGATCACGTAACTCAAGTAGCGTTTGGACGTGTCAAAGATGGACTCCAGCACATAGAAAAAATGTGAAGCCATTACACTGATGCTGTAACAGCCAGTCATGCATAACTTCGGTATGCAAGCCCAATTATCTAGTTTAATTGAGTCATGCGAGCACTGTTTGGATTTCCCTACAGCTAAATATTGCACAAAAATACGTTGGAACTACTTGAAATGAAGCTGGATACGCCAAGAAACTCGATGTATGGGCGCTACATGAGTTAACGAGAGAAAACCTCATCTCCTCAAACTGCCAATCTCTATTTAATAAACGGTCTTCATGACCTGATTGACATCCAAGAAAGTTTTTTTGCTTATTTTGGATGGGATTGACAAGAATCATTCACTATAAGCTGATTCCCTACTGCAAAACTTCTATTTCAGCCCTCTACTATAAGTAATTAGACCATCTGAGGGACGCAATCGTTCAGAAGCGCCCAGCTTAGGCCAAAAGTAGGGGAAGACTATTTCATCAGGCTAACTCCATCACATGCAACGATAGTGACTCCCCAGAAGCTTCGCGCGAATAACTCGAAAGTTCTTATGATTCACTTTATAGTCTGAGCCTCGAGTCCTTTCTATGGCTAATGTGTTGGCTGGTAACGAATTGATCTCAAGAGAAATACAAAGCTTCAGAAGAAAATCTCCCAACTATTTAGTAGCTTTCCTCGCTGAATATTTCTAAATGCATACATAAGTACAGCTCTACGTAAATAACCATACTTGGTAACTTAACACCCCCTCCCCTTCACTAGTAAATTAAATTCATAGCAATTCGACAGCTGACCCGGGAGATAAGTTTTCATCAAACTTTAATACCCCAAAGGAGATTTCAAAAAAAAAAATTGCTAGAAAAGTTTTACAACAAAATGAAAAGCTTTTACTGTGAACCGAAAAAGCCCAAAAAAGGGTGCAAGGATAATAAAAAGTGAATAAAAATAGCGTGTTAAAACAAGCACAGAGAGCAAAAGTTGAGGAAATGTGAAAAAAAAACCCATGAGGAAAATAACATCACCGAAAACAAAGTTGAAAACAGCTTCACTACAACAGCAAGTGACAACAAAACACGCCCCTTAAACAAAACAAATGAACAAGGACATACATATGTACGAGTATATGTAAGTATTTATGAAGCGCGCATATAAGCCAAAAGTAGCAACCGAACAAAGCAACATGTAGTTGTTGCTGACCTTCCCAAAACGACGCGGCGCAATATTTATTTATTTCCTGTTCAACGTTGCCCCTCCCCCATGCACTGTCTACCCACCAAACAGCTGTCGGGCGCTACAATGTTTGTTTTTGCTTCTTCTGCCGCTCAGCTGTTTTTTGTTTGTTTATTTTTTGTTTCCTTTTATTTTTGTTTTTGCTACAGCGCAAAGACTCACCACACCAGCAGGTGACTAACGGTGGAGTAGCAACTTTGATGATTTTACGAATTTGATTGTGCGCGCGACCGTCGGTTTTCTGGTTCTTTTTTGCAGCTTTTGCTGTGTGCTTTTGATTCATTTTGTTTTTTCTACAGCTCTTGGCTTGGCTTATCGTCGCTTCTTGTATGCCACTCAAACATTGATGTTTTTGTTGTTGTTGTTGTTGTTGTTGTTGACTACTTTGTTTTTGCAGCTGTTCACTGCTTTTGAGCGAACAATTTCTCATTTGATATGCCGTCACAATCGAAAGGTTTACTGAAATGCTGGAGCTCACAGACAATTGTTGTGGTGAGACCGTTCTGTTTCCGTGGCTTTCAATCAATTATTTTCTGTGGTTAGAATTTTTTTGAACATTTTCTAATGGAGGTTCTCGCCATGTGGTTCTCTAGTTCTACATTTGAGCTTTAAGTTTCTTTCTTTTAACATCAAGTACAGGAAGCTCTTAAGAGAGGGAACCTCAGGCACGGCTTTGAGTTAGGTTAGGTTGGGTTAGGCGGAGGAGATTGCCGAATTTGGAACATCGACACATTTGCACTGGAAAAGGTACATACAAAATAAATGTGATGTCATACAAACTTAACGGTCGACAAAATCTATTCATAAGCCGACTCTAATTTCGAAAATCTACTTGAAACTTTCGCGAAGCAAACAGATGAAAAATTGTAATCTCTTACTGGCCGTTTTCGCAGCTTCTTCTGAATGTGACTACCCGCTATTCTATGAGGCAGTGTCTCGTCCATATCACAATAAAATGCTCTTCTTGTTCAGAGATTGAAAGCCTGATAATCAGTCTCTCATGGATAATATCGACTATATATGAAGGAAGCCTTCCTTCTAACCTCCGAGGGTAACGGTGGCTTTACCGTGTGCTACTGCGGTGGATTATATATTTTCTTCCCACACTACGTGCACCACTGAGACCGCTTCGATGGACGGATGACAGTACGAAGCAAATAAACATATAAAATAAGATTACCAACAACGATCAGGAGAAAATAACGTGGCTGGGACTTTCGCTCTGCGACACCAGCGAGAGTGGTCATCGATGACTTTGACATAGGTAGTATGTCGTCGGTAAGCCCTACAAGAGAAAAGAAGCTTTATGCTATATCTGAAAAGCAGACCGAGGTGAGAAATGGATTGGCGAAGGTCTCCAAAATCCAAGATTGCTTGCTATACTGGACTTTACTTACCGTGCGACGGCGCCTAATGCGGGGTAAACCACGGTCACAAAAGTTGAGCGTTCCATAGTTGAAGGAGTCAGCAATGTTCTCCATACTAAAAGAATCTAGCAATACAGCTTTGGGCGTCTGTAGTGTATTCGGTAATACTTTGGAAGTGTTTGGAGTCTGACTTAGACTTCTTGGAGGCAATCAGTTTAACCCTTTTATGGTGTAGGCAGGTAATGACCAGGTACAGCACTTCACCCAGAAAATCCTTAGAACTATCTGTTTATGTGATTTTTGGCCAAGCTTCATTTTAAATTTGAGTAAGAGACCTACAGTTTACACTGAGCCACCTCAGCTCCATATCAAAAATGTACTTGGAGGGCTAGACTTTCCCTGCCGAGAGTGTGTCCGTAACTAAAAAATATATTTCCTATGATTTTTTGATGTTGGTCAGACCAGCAATCGAACCCTGACCTTCCGGCCCTTGGGAATGCCGATATCTAACAGAGCACGAAAATCTGGATTAAAATGTCCGCTTATATTTAAAAATATAGATGTATTTCTGATATATTTGCTTAATTCCAAATTGCCTTCGTTACTCTCTCTTCTTTCTTTAAAGACTTTCTACTACTTCATTCTTTGAATTTAAGCTTTTATATTTATTTTTTAATTTTCCCATCCTCTCTACGCGGCTCCCATCAATATATAAATGTTTTTCGCCAAACGTTTTAAGAATTTTAAACAAATGTTGCCAACACAGCTTGGTGTTGATGGGTTTCTCAGCCAACGGCAAAATCATTCAAACTTTTCCATATTATTAAACGAAATATATACATACATATACTATGTATGTATGTGAGTATGTATGAAATGCAAAAGCTAAGGAATAATAGTAAAAAAAAGAGTCAAAAGAAAAACGATTGAGCGAACTAGCTGCTATGCTAACAGGAAAGTAAGGAAATGAACAAATTCTTATGCTGCTCTCGATTTATGCTAAAAGAAGTCCAACGGAGGGTTTTTTTTTTAATAAAAGTCCGAAAGCTTGGTGAAAGCTATGAGGCGAGTCTGCACTCAATTGAACATTTATTATAATATTTTTTGTAATTTTCTCCCTCCGTGTGGTTGATTTGAGTTACAAAACATATATTTAAAGTGGAATGAAAATGCCGGGTAAAATTTAGATTGAGTTGAATGGGAGTATATGAAAGTATATGAAAGCATTAAATTTAATGCTCAGAAGCTTTAGAGCCTTACAGCAAATTAAAGAGGGAAAACTTATTTTATTAGTGAAATTTGAGTCTTCAATAAATTTAAAGATCTCAAATATAAAACTAAACTTAAAATTTTAACTTTAAATTGTAAATTTAAATAATAATCATAAATATAATTAAAATTAAAATTCAAATTCAAATTCAAATTCAAATTCAAATTCAAATTCAAATTAAAAATAAAATTCAAATTCAAATTCAAATTCAAATTCAAATTCAAATTCAAATTCAAATTCAAATTCAAATTCAAATTCAAATTCAAATTCAAATTCAAATTCAAATTCAAATTCAAATTCAAATTCAAATTCAAATTCAAATTCAAATTCAAATTCAAATTCAAATTCAAATTCAAATTCAAATTCAAATTCAAATTCAAATTCAAATTCAAATTCAAATTCAAATTCAAATTCAAATTCAAATTCAAATTCAAATTCAAATTCAAATTCAAATTCAAATTCAAATTCAAATTCAAATTCAAATTCAAATTCAANATTAAAATTAAAATTAAAATTAAAATTAAAATTAAAATTAAAATTAAAATTAAAATTAAAATTAAAATTAAAATTAAAATTAAAATTAAAATTAAAATTAAAATTAAAATTAAAATTAA